TCTTCTGAGCTTTTATTCTACTATTCATTTCCCATTCGCTTTGTTCCCAATTTCCTCAAAATGACATTAACCGGAAAAGCTATAAAATTTCTAGACCTGTGGCCTCCTCTGTTTTTGAGTATATACTCTGCAGTGAGCATGTGTATTTTGCTCATAAAATATTGCCCATTCACTTGTGTACTAATTCAGCCTACATCTTATAAGATGTATAGAATTAAAGGATAAAATAAATGTAAAAGGATGTTCCAATATTTTCCTTCTCTGTACCTTTCCTTGTTCACTCCGCTCAGCAGGCAACATAGTGTATTCTAAATAATATTTACAACTCACTAATTGGTGTGTAACTAATTAGTTACAATTAATTAGTTGTTGTGGCAAAGGGTGTTAATAATATTAAACTTGAAGTTTTCAAATACAAGAGGATTTAGCAAATAGAATCTGCTCAGCAAAGTTGGGATGTTAAAGCCATTGTGACCTTAATGTGAAGTCATACTATTATTATGAATTTACCTGTAGAGCCTTAAACACTTGCTCTGCATTATACTTCCTTCCTCTCTATCAACTGATCCAACATTTAGTCACAAACTTTAATTCTTCCCCTAACCTTTTATTTTATTCAATATTTCTTATGATGTTAGTTTTGGTCTTAGCTTAGCCCTCATTTTGTTTTTATTTCTTGATCAATTCTTTTCTTGTATATTCTTCCAGTCAGCCTCCTACTGTGGTCCATTTTTCCCTCATAATTTGCTATCTTTTTTCTGTCATTTACTTTTGCAGCACTACCCTCCTATCATTACAAAGCTCCCACATAAACATAGAGGAAACAGACACAAGAGAGGATGATATTTGTAAACTGGGTGTGATTTTATCAAATTTATGCATGCTTTAAAAGTAGTGTAAGAAGAATACATTTGATTTATATCAGTATTAGCTAATTGATGTATCATACTTTGCAGACACTTAAAGTATATATATATATATATATATACACACACATAAATATATATTTGTACTACTACATTGTTTTCATGTAAGAGATTATGGCATTTGATAATATCCCTTCCATAAGTAATTTTCCTAACATTTAAAGGGATACTAAAATAAAGAACCAAGCAATTAAAATACCAGATATTTATACAGAATAGTAGAGAACATATATCCAGACCAGTTATTTTTTTTTCATGCTATTCCATAATATACTGGACAATATTTATGTTAGGCGTTATTCTTCAATATAGTTATGAGTCACCCCTCCATATAAGTGTTTCATTCTTTGATAATAATACATCTGTAGCAGACACCCAATTGCCAATAATGCAAATTCCAGTTTGCAGCCCTCTTAGTATCAGGTGTGGCCAGGCCTCTAATATCTGGCCCTTACAGTGTGAGAGAAAAAGGAAATGTGCACCTTCTGGGTCTGCCTGTGCCTAGTCACCCCTGCCCCTTTCCCTATCCCATGGCCTGAATATAGATGAGGATGCCAGAGAGGAGAATTAGATAAAAAGGTGTGCAGGGTTCTGAAAGCACAACCTACATAATGGTCCAGGACTGACTGCTAATATTACATGTGTTTAAGCCACTATCATGCTGGCTTTCAGCGACAGCAGTCAAGTCTAATACAAGGTGATACCACAAGATCCTAAAATTGATTTCTTGTTGGAATGTGGGATTTTTATTGGAATGTGGATGTAGGTGTCTTCTCAAAGTTCGTGTTATTTTTACAATATCTTTTCAAGTTCATTTTGCTTTGAAAATGGTTTATATTTTATGTGGGCAAATAAAATATTGCTGTATATTTTTGTAATCATTGTGATGATTCAAAATTTGGTTTACTCCACATTCTTTAATTAGTAAACCACAATCAGCGACAAATACGCTAGTGCTTTAAAAAGAAAGTAACCTCAAATATTCCTCCACATATTTTCCATCTTCATATTCCCTTTGGTACAAAGATACCACATTTCAGACCATCTACTTTACCAGACCTCTCTGATTTCTGTCTCTTGGAGCTGCTCTTAACCAGATGTTTCACCCTGCAGATGCAGTCACAGCCCAGAGCACAGGACCTGCCTCACACACTAACATCTGTCATATGCCACGGGACCTGCCTCACACACTAACATCTGCTCATGGGCCATTTGGTTTTCCTTTGATTTTGGTGGCTTAAAGTTCATGACCTACTTCCTCAAATTTAAGGATATTACTACCTCAAAAGGTCAATGCTTAAATATACTACAGAGGTAATCTCAGACTGAGATTACTTCTCAGTATAATAAATACCTTGCATGTAATGTTATACCTCTCATCTATAATAAATACATGTGTGGCTATTTTGATGGTCAGAAATATTGGACACCAAGGAAAAATAAGTTATAGAAAAAACAAATGTTTGTCAAAATCATAGGTTTTAAAACATGACATTGTATATCTAAGGTACATTGGTATCTTTAGAGTAATACTACTGTACATTCTGAGCATAACTCTTACAAGCTCTTAGAGATTTTTTGTTGGTGGTACTGGTGAGTCTTGAGTATGAATAGCCTTACAAGAGATCCATGCTCTGAAATTCAATGAAGAATTTGGTTCATTGACTTGTCCATCAAATACTGAACTGATTAAAGTTCTCTAACTAAAATCATATTATATTATGGTATGTTATATTATATTATATTTCATTTTTGCAAGCTTTCATTTTACAGTTATCACTGGCTGACAAGTAGTTTTAAAGACACAACTAAGCTTCAGTATCTGGTACCTCCTGTCGTACAGATATATAAATGTGGCCCATGTGGCCCCCTGCAAAAGGATTGTGTCCTTTACACTCGTTATACTGACTTTAAAGATGAAGTATTTGTTTGGTACTCTTGTTGACATTTTGGAAAACTTTATAAATATTCAATTTTTTTTTCTGCCTTTTTGAGACAGGGTTTCACTATGCAATTCAGGCTGGCCTTGAACTCACTTTGTAGCTCAGGTGGGCCTTGAGCTCACAGTGATCCTCCTGCCTCAGCCTCCCAAGTGCTGGGATTACAAGCATGTGTCACCACACCAGGCCTAAATATTCACTTTCATTAGACTTTTTCATATAATACTTGGATATGTTGTACATATTTGCCATTTTTATAGCTATATCATGAACACCTTCCAAATTAATGTGTATGGATCTCACACATAATACAATGATGAACAACTTTGTATATTTCTTTTCCTGAATATAGTCTATTATTTCTTTTGATAAAGTTTTAAAATGGCTAATTGCCAACCTTAATATTAATTAAATGGTGAATAAATAAAAAATTCCCATGTGCTTTAGTTCTAAAAGTCTCCTCTCACAAGTACACTTTTCTGAACTAAATTTTGAACCTTAACTTTTGCACTTAATCACTTCATTACAAGACATCCTTAAATGGGTTATGGAGTCAAAGTAAATATTCCACCACACAATACCACAACATTTTAGTTCTGAAATGCTTAAAATAGAATATTTAAGTTAGAACATGTAAATAAGATATAATTATAGCTCTTAAAATGCACCCATGCTATACTGACAAGTCCAAGAATAAATTGTTCTCAGCATTCTTAGTATTGATATAAACGTCCAAGTGGTGAGCATATGTTTGGGGAATGTTTAATGTTTCTGTCAACAGTTGGGTAAGATTTGTCTTATTTTAGGGAGCTAAGTCATAGGTCAATTAATACTTTCTTACATCATTATTGCATTCTCTCCAACAGATTTGATAAAATGTATGGAAATTTCTAGAAAAAAAATGACCTGAGCATTCCAATCATAACAACTTCATGGAGCATTAACATTTTAATACAACTGTACAAGGTACTGAGTTTGCCAGAACTGTAGAATACTCTCTTGGCATATAGTTTGAGCACAGTGGTTTCTGCTGTAAAGTCTTTTAGTTCGCTTACACTAACTCATGACACATTACTGGTCTACTTTGTTAGCAAAACCACAGTTATGGAAACCAGACCTTTTTTTTTTTTTTTTTTTTTTTTTTTTTTTTTTACCACAGAGAGAGTTGCTGAGCAGTATCCTCCACCCTTTTGTAGGTAGACAGTCCGGTTGAATAGAACTAAGACTATTAACTTGGAGTTTAGTAGAATTGCAATTATGAATTGAGAAAAGCTAGAAATTATGCTTTGGTAATTTGACAAAGCATCCAAACTGCAGGGTTTCTTCAATACCAGGTGGAATGTATAGGGAAAATGGCATACTTGGTTTTACATCATGACTATTTAACACTACACTGTTTGAAGAAATTCTACAGTTTTGGCTGCCACTTCAACGTTTGCTTCTTTCCCACGCAGCTTTTGAGGGAGCATGGCACTTCTAGAGTTAATCAAAAGGTCCTTGGCACCTTTCAATTGGTCCTTTCAATTCCATTACTGGCTGTCTTTGATTAATTGCTAAAGAAATTCAGTGGCAAGAAACAAACCATGGTGCACATATTGACGGGGAATGGGCCAGGTTATCACAATTATAGTATCAGCACATTTAGGAGAAAGAGACACTATTGCTTCTGAATATGTAAAAGGGTTATTTTCAACAGGCGACTTATGCCACTTTGTTTATGATAAAAGTATACGTTTTGAAGGGACAAGAAGACAAGTCCAAATAAAGAATATTGACTAAGAAATATCATGATGATATTAGACATCACTTTTCAGAAGGCATTGGACTACGTTATTATGAATTATGTGGTAGCTATTTATTTCCAACTTAAGGTGAAATCTTGCCTGAACACAATTCCAGAATAGAATGGTTGTAAACTGCTGAAATATTATTAGCAAAATAAAGGAGTATTATATTTTAAATTTTACATATTTTTATGGTTTCACCTATTAGATAATCTTTAAATATTATGCATCTGCATTGTAGGGTGAAAAAAATATCTACATATGTTTTAAATCCAAGCAGAACACTAAATGATGACAATAAGGATATTTACAGAATTTCAAAAGCCAGCTGATCTGTGCACACGTCTTACCTTTCTCTTACGAAGCTTGACTTGGCCATCTGTGGGCTCCTGGGTGGCCAGGGTGTCCTTTACGTGTAAACACTGCATACCATCACTTGCACTGACCTCAGGAGGACCATTGTTTTGATGTTCTGAGAATCCACTTTTCTCCAGACCATTTTCAGTTCCACTGGGGCAGGAAGGAGGCTGCTGAAGGCAACTTCCAAAATCTGCTTTTAATAGTGGCAATCCTCCATTTGTACAGTGTATGGCCAAATCCTCATCTTGTAATTCATGGCAAGTGTTTTCTTCATATTCATCTTTAGGGAAGTCAGGTTTCCTTCGTTGTTGAGCAATTACAGCAGAATTAAGCAGTTGCTTCTCAGGCACAATATCTTTCACATTCAAAGAATCCAATGTATTTACTGTAGGCATATCTTTTATTTCACTTAAGTTTACATCATCACAAAGCTCCAGGCTTTTACTTATAGTATCAACAGCTTTTCTTTCCCCACTCTCTTCTGTTAGTGCTGATTCAGCCTTCCCAGCAGTTCCCCAAGAGTTGTAAGAATCATGGCTACTTTCCATGATGGGTAATGTCTTTACTAAGGAGCCTGCTCCTTCAACACAATGTTGGGCTGAGGTTTTATTCCCTTGGGTAATTAAACTCTGTTTATTATCTGTAAGGTACAGATCAGAATTGTTATCCTCATCAGAAATATGCACTAAGGTTTCGGTGCTCGCCTCCAGAGACAGAAACTGATCTTCACCTTCATAGCTGTCATTTTCATTCATTTTCTTTGAAATGTGGCCCATGAGCATCCCAGGAAAATCTCCCGGCTCTGATTCCTGACAGCAGTCTGGTAGGGAAGCACACTTCTCTTTGCGGTCCACCTTTACAGTCGCATCTTTTTCCATACTTGCCTGCAAGTTGTCGGCTACAAGTCCATGATGACATGCTGCGTTATAATCATCAGAGTTAAAAGGTTGCTCTGTCTGTTGGGTCACATGTTCTTCCCAGCTTCTCTTTCTGACAGCTGCAGACATGTCATCATAGTTTAACAACAGACAGAGAGGTACATTCCATGTGAGGTTAATGTAGATGTAACTTGACGAAAGATTATTTCAAATTCATGAATAGAAGAGAATGAATTTTGTCATTTTCACCACCTATTGAAAAATTTAAAAACATATTGTTATGGATTCATTTCTGAAGTCAAAGTCAGCCTTGGAAATGAGAACACCTAATCCGTGCTATGAAGGCAGAGGTGTGAGATTTTATAAATTTTCTGTTTATAACTTTAACAGAGATATTTTTTAAGGAAGTTTAATGATAGAATTATTTTTTCTTTAATATTTCTGGTCAAAAATTATCAGCGATACTTTTAAAAGCATTTGAGCTAGTTTACTAATAAATGAAGATATAAATACCAAGCTCCATTAAGAAAATATCTGGATTGCAATACTTAATAGAAATCACAGGAAGAAAGTTGTTGCTCTAGCTTGTCTCCTTTTCCAATTTACTTTTGTGAGCACAAATCATTAAAGAAATATATTGACTATTTCTTTTAAATTGAAACAAAGGCCACTAGGGAACTGTTCATGCAAAATGAAAGCTATAGAGACAGCATATGTAGTGTATTAGTGTGCGAAAGTGCTAACACCAATCCTGTATGACTGGGATGTATTTACTCCAGGTATGACTAAGAAATACAGAATAATTCAGTTTAGGGCATATTAACAGTCATGGATAAGACAGCATAACACACCATTTATAGTGCTTTGTTAGAGGTAGGTCTGTTCATTTATCCTATTAATGCTATTAGCAAGCTAGTATTGTGGAAGCTTAAAAAACAATGGAGCACCTATTCATGCATCCTAGTTTTGTGATTATGAGTGAGTAAGCTAATATTGTTGACCTTAAAAAAAATAACCTCTCCACAGTTACATATGTAGAAAGTAAACCCATAATCAAACTAAGTCCTAGTTGTTTCAAAAAATTAATTAAGTTTATTGGTACATTTTAGGTGTACATGGTGATCACATTCATTGCAAAGACTTTGTACCTGTGCAAAATATAACTTGACTCTCTTTTTCCCATTCCCCTGCCCTTCAACTCCTCTTCCCCTCTTTATTTACAAAAGCTTCTGCTCAGATAGCCAATAAAGTTCATCGTATCCAAGGAATTATGAAATTTCACCTTCCTCTCTTCTCCCATGTCTTTAGTATGTAAAAGCTCTAAACTCCTCATGCAGGGATCCAACTGTACCATAAAGAAGGTGTCAGAATAATGAAAGAATTAAGGCAAGTCTTCAAAAACTTGAGTCTCACTCTCTTTGGCTTCTAAAGAGTCTGGTGTGTGTCTTTCTGTTAGAGATTGGACATTAAAATTCAAGTAAATAAGAAACCCGTTATAAAATAAGGCCAAACTGTAAAGATTGATACTACCTAGGTATCAATCCTTTTGCCTCCAGTTATTTAAATCTTTTGTGAAAGGAAACAAATGGTACCAATGTAAACTCAAACTTATAAAAGCAACTAATCCAATATCATTGCAGAATGAAACCAAAGAACTGGACTGTCAATGAAAAATCCCATTTAAAGAGTAGCTACTTTTAGTTTTTATTCTGCGTAAGAACTGTTAGCACTTTATATGGATTGGCTTATTGATCTTAGTCATAAAGAAGATTAACTGCTGTGCTGATTTTGGGTCATTTCAGTCTCTGAAAAGGACTTTGACTCCTCACCAAAAATTTCAAACTATTCTGACTACACACATGCTGGAAAGGTAAATATTCCCACTTCATAAAGACTGGTAAAGTTGAGGAATATACTAGAAATGTAGTCCACCAGGCTGAGCAAATATCCTTCTGGATACTATTTGGTTCCCTCAGAGGTCTGTGGCCATCTTTGAAAATGGCCATCATTCACATTTTCCATGTTGGCCTTCACTTTGCACTCAAAAAAAATATAAAGTCTCTGAGTTCCATGCATAAGTCATTATAGTGTGGGAGGCTACGGAAAGTGGAAAAAATGCATAGATGCAGGCCAGAAAATTTCTGCTTTCCTGAGCAAATTTAGGTTGTAATAGGGCGGTTCTGTGTTAGATGCTTTCTTTTCTTTATTTTTATCCAGGGTAGAAAAAACGGGCCAACTTAAGAAATGCCAAGTGGTATTACTGTGTCATTCCTAAGCCACATTTACATTTAGGTTGAGCCTGAATTCTGGTTTTATTTTATGTTTTTAAACTGAGAAGAAATATATAGTTTTACTAACTTCTTGGGGGAAAAGAAACACAACAATTATTCTCTTAAGACCTTGCAAAATATTAACTAACTTATTTCACTCCACCTAATAAGAAGCCAAGTATTTCTATCAAGTCAAAAGAAAATACTTCAAAAATTTCTGAGACAAGGTACAGTCACTGCAGAAAGAGACTGTAAATTAGATAGGTTCAACACAGCATTAACTCTGTATTCCTTTCTACTCTAAGTTCTCTGAACATTTCTAAGTCATTATTATGAATATATACTATTTTTACTAAGAAACAAAACTGCCTCATTATCATTATGAGCAACATCATTACATTTCAAATGCCTTTTCTGTATGTTGTGGTCTGATAGGTTTTTCAAAAATTTCATCTCCACAAACATCTCTGCCTAAACTTCTATTTCAATTCCAATTTGTAAGATTGATAGTTACATTAAAGGCTGAAAAAGTAATTAGTACATATGAGTATTATATTACTGGCAATTACATCTGACCTTATAGGCCTCATTTTCTAAATTATATGGATTGATTAAAGTCTTATCTGTAAGATAGGAAAGTTTTTGTAAAAAACACACAAATAAAAAACAAAACAAAATTGATTTTCCCTATGAGGTTTCTCACCAGGCTGCCTTATTTAAAATCGTATTTCAAATTTCTGACCACTTATCTTGCAAATTACTATTACATTTCTTTTCTAAATCATTTTTATGTGGTTGCATTCAAAATGAGCTCAGTTACTGAGGATTTGGATGGACGATCTGGAAAAGTCTAGGTCATTCCTGAGTGTTGAATTTATGAAGTGAATTTCCATGGGGATTTTTCCCTTGTAAAATGCATGCGTTCAAACATCGCTGTATTAATATCACAAAAGGCTGTGTGTACTATTACTTACACAATGATTCTAGAAAATATCTGTGAAATATCCGAAGTTGCTTTCTATAAATGCATGAGATGCTAAGACACACAGTGACTTCAAATATATTCTTTGAGTTTATTTTGTAATTCTTAGTGTGCCTTAACATAAATATTTCATGGAATGCAATACATATTTTATATTAAACAAAGTTTAAGTGCAAATGTATCTAAGAATGACAATTGAAGATACTCTAGTTCAAGAATCATTGACCTATATGTGATATCAAATGATGCTCTACTCTGTATAGGCTTCTGAGATAAACATACACCTTATAATTTGGACTGCCAGTTAAATAAAGTGCCTGATGATAACTGCTATTGATGATCCTATATCCAGGGAAAACAAGGCTCAAATGAAATTCTGACAGCTGAAATTAAGTGTGTAGCATCCTAGGACTCATAGTATTCAGATCACGATCACTATTAAACATGAGTTTACTTAATACCCAGTGGGTGGTGGACACCCTGCTGAACATTAAGAATACAAACCTGAATAATATATCAGATTTGGAGGTTTTCCAAATTTCCTTTCCTATTGGAGGTTTTAAAGTTGTAGGAGAAACTCATGTAAACAAAAGTCTTATCATGACTGCAATAGAAATGATACGTGCACCAACACCATGAAAAGCTGAAGGTCAAGCGCTGGGGTGTTGTCAATTTCCTCTATCTCCCTAGTTCCCCTTCCTTTTCTCTATCTCTCCTTTAGGGAGTGGTGCTGGAGATGGTGAATGTATGAGGCTAGGACTCCACAAAGGCAGAAAATACTGAAGGATGTCTTCTGGGATGCGTTTTCTGTGTCCAGAACACCCAAGTTCAACGAGAGTTTAGGGAGAGTTTTCCACCGGATGGAAGAAGTCTCTTTACTCTCTTTGGATTCTTCTTATTCTAGAACAACTCTTTGGGAAAGAGAATAGAGGAAATAACAGGCTGTAGAGAATTACTTACAATTTGAAAACTCATTAGTTGTCTAGGAGGGGAACGGCATTTCTCAGGAGCATTTCAGTGAATAATTGAGGGGAGAAAATTTCCAAAGCAAAACTTTAGAAAACATTCCAGAGCTCATGATCTAAGCCTTTGGATTGAAGAGAACTTGTGAAATGACATACTTCAAGGAAAAAATAGATTACATCAAGAAACATCATTGTGAAACTTTAGAATGCAGAAGGTAAGCCAAAGATCCTAAATGTCATCCTAGAGGTACACAAGAGATTCTATTTTAGAAAATGGAAATAAGAATGGCATTAAATTTCTCAGCAGCAACAATGGAAATAAGATGATGACAATAAATATGCCTTCAAAATATAATGGAAGTTTCTTTCTACCTTTAAATTATAGGAAGAACCTTATTTTAAACCTGTTTTTGGAAAGCTCCTGGACAGAAAGTTTCAACTGAGACTAAAAATATAAGAAAGGCATGACTTTAGTGAATTCTAACATTTCACACAAATGACCATGGAATAGAAATTCTTGGATGAAATTTGTGCAGCAGGTCTAATGTGCGATGAGTTCACATAAATCCTAATTTTTCTACAAGAGATATCTCTAAGAAAAAAAAAGAAATTATACATGTGATCGCACTGAGAACAACTGGTCAGAAAGTCAGACAACTGGGATGAAAGAATTAGTGATAGTTAGGTACAAAACCAAGGAAGTCAATTACTACATAGACATTTTGTAATTGTTGTTGTACTGGGGATTAAACCACAGATTCCTATGCATTTTACGCAAGCAATCTACTACTAAACTATATCTTCAGACCTTTCAAATTATTTTTTTGTGAGACAGAATCTCACTAAGTTGCTCAGGCTAACCTTAAAATTGGGATCCTCCTGTCTCAGCCTCCTTAATACCTGAAATTAAAGGCATACACCACTCTGCTTAGTGGGGAAAAGTTTTATAAGAAAAAATGTAACTATCGTACACTACCCATTTAAGTTGTGAATTTTTTTATGGAGTCAAAATAATACAAATACAATAATACCCTG